TAAATATTTGAATTATAAAAAAAAAAAACAATATAGTAATTCTGCCATGAAGATGTGTATGTTAAGAATGGACTGTTTGTGAACCATTTCATTCAATGATTCAATGCACAGTCTTAAATAATGACAAAAAAAAAAAAAAAGGAGAACGCTTGCTCAGATGTATGAGGTTACATCCTGACCTGTTTATTCACCAAACAAGAACTGTTGGATCTTTTGATGAACCTGAACTTGTCCTTTGGGCACAAAGTACACAAATCTGCTTTAGATCCACCCTGAAGGATTTATAGCTAGGTCTCAGTTGGCAGTCATAGAGGAGGCCCTGTCTTCACCATCTGGCTCAATAAGCTTTGACTGGGGAATATTGTTGGATGAACAGTGACTGCATTCAATCAGGTGTTGTGGATGTCTGAATACATCAACCACCAGGGAATATTGTTCCATCCATGCTGTTCAACTAGATGCAGGAATCCGTCATGGAAATCTTTATGTGTATGGCTAGGTTCACTAATAATCTTGTTTCCTTGATTCCTCCATGAGAGCCAGTATCCTTTCCAGTACCATAAGTAGGTTATGTCCAAGCACTGAGGAGGTAAGGTTTGGGCTTTTGATGTTCTCTGTGTGTTTCAATTTCTGATTAGGTGTGTGGAGTAGTCACAGTAGGCTGTCATAGAAACAAGAATACCACTACGAGTAATTCTGGATTTTTCTAATACCTGTGAGGAGCCTTCATTATGACCTAATGCACTTTGCACTGTTATTTGTTTCAGTAAAAACAAATGCACCAACCAATTTTTAAAAGATATATTTTTTTATAGTTGTTATGTGCCTGTGAAAACAGCAACGAGAGAGGCTGGCACCCTCATTGTATTTCCAGACAATTTTCAAATCTCCTGCCAGCTCCATGGGATTCATTAAGGACAGAATCAATCCTTCCATCTAGAGCGCACCCCTGTTGCTAAGCAATTATTCTATAAAGATTGCTGGAACACAGGCTGGTGAAGAGTCAATTGCATCCTGTATAGCATCCTTCCATTAGCATTGTGCTGCTGTCTCTGGACCAGACAGAAATGCCAATAAGAACATGGTGTCTCCAGTACTTGCAATGTGTAGGGTATATTTTTTTACCTTTAGTTAGAAAAGCTAAAATACAAATAATATATATCTTGTAACATCACCACTACAGGCAGCACCATCAGCACTATATCATACGTCGGTGGACAGGCATTCCACAATAGACAATTCTCTTACAGAGATTTAATGGTTCGAGTATCTTCCAAGGAGATCTGCAGCCAGATGTAGCTGAGTTATTTCAGTATAATCAATTTACTAATAAAAGCATCTGATTTATGTGTTGGAACTATCTCTGTGCTCATCCAAGACTACATTACAGAAATATAGATTAGTTAGTATGGGAGTGAATACTATATGATGGAATAACTGCCATCTGTATCTGAACTAGAAGAGAGATATTTTTAACCCTTCTGTTTCCAGGCCTTGATCTCCATTTTACAATTCAGTTTGCCAGACTATTTTTGCTAATTTTCACTTTTTTTTTACCATTTTTAACCTGCAGCTTTCAGAGTTTGTAAAACTCTCCCCAAACCATATATGTTTATGTTCTGAAAGCACAGGACAGATAGAATAAAAAGATGATGCTACTGATTTTAAAGGTTGTGTGACAGTTGTGCAGATGTTCATCAAATCCATTTTTTTTTTTAGATAAAATAAATGTATCATTAGTGCACACAAACACAAGATACCTTACACAATTCCAATTAAATACAAAGCATTTTATTGAATTAATAATTTAAAAACATTGCTACATTTTAAATTTGTTTTTTTTTTGCGACGTGTGCATTATGTGTGAACAGGGAGGGATTAATATATTTATGTGTGTTTGTTTTTTTATGCTTTTTTTTTTGCTTAAGTACTGTCACCAGGTGTTAATAAGCCTCTTGATGACAGTATATACACCAAATGTGGCAATTTCAAGGGCCTAAACTTGAACATGGGATTATGCTCAGTACTCATCCACAAACTGAAGGAGATAAGTATACGTGAGAAGCACATTTACTGACATCTCTGCTTAACATCCTGAACAGAAAAGCTGGCAATGAGACTGACATGGCGCCAGGACACTGGTCTCATTGCCAGTAAGGGCTGGTGAGGTGAGGAGGAAGACCAACAGCTTTAGGTTCCTACATTGCCCATACAAAGCCCCCACCCTTCTGAAGACCCGAACCCTTCCAGAGAGCCAATCCTCTATAATTGCAGCTCCCTCCTGAACCTCATCCCCTACAGGGCCACCAAGTCTGATGCAAAACCTTCAACCCCCCCTTCAGTGCCACACAGCTCTATCTGGAGCATTCTAGCATTTCAAAACATATTTTATAAACCCATACATTTATTGTGTGAGTATGAATCCTTTTTTTTTTTTTTTTACTATTTGGGCATGAAAGGTTTTGGAAGAATTTACTGATCCCTGGTCTAAATAAAGTTGAGAATCACTGGTCTAGGGGACTCCTGTGCTATAAGGGTCACTGAAGTTACTATGAGATCGTCATCTAACGGAATGCAGCTTCCAAACGTATTACTGAGCTGGCCAGCTGCAAGCAGTTCTGCTCTGCCATAACCATTACATTGGCGGTGAAATACGAGGGTCATTCAAGTCAAATCAAGACTTTACAATAAAAAAAGAACAAATTTGAAGGAGTGGAAACTGCATTTTTTTTCAACATACTCCCCTGCTACATTAATACACTTATCCCAGAGTTTAACTAATGCCTGGAAAGCTTTGGCATACAAAGATTTGTCAGTATGCCTGAACCATCCTATTTTAGCTTGTTTCACTTCATCATCATTGTGTTCATCACCGTTCCTACAGAAAGATTTGTCTCTTGTACAATTTCATGACAGTTTATGCATCGATTGTCCAGGATCAGGCATTTCAAATGCTGAATGTTCACAGGAATGGCTGCTGTGGGCTGGGGACCACCACGGCTGGAATCGTCACTGACGAATGTATATGGCCATCTTTGAAACGTTTACAACATTCAAATGTCTTACTGCGGCTGTGCATCCCATCACCGTACTGTGCTTGAAGTCTTCTATAGATATCCGGGGGGGGGTTCTACGCCTTAGTTCCCAAGAAACTTCACCACCACACTCTGTTCCATGCACACACTAGCACTGTTGTCTACGATCTTGATTAATGGTCTGTTCAAAGCTCTGTGTCTGCTAAGGGGACAGGACAACTACACCGTATCAAAGGGACGATGGACGGGGTAATGTACCGTCAAATCTTGGGTGAGAACCTTCTTTCCTCAGCCAGGGCATTAAAAATGGGTCATGGTTGGGTGTTCCAGCATGACAATGACCCAAAACACACACGGCCAAGGCAACAAAGGAGTGGCTCAAGAAGAAATACATTAAGGTCCTGGAGTGGCCTAGCCAGTCTCCAGACCTTATTACGATTGAAAATCTGTGGAGGGAGCTGAAAGTTCGAGTTGCCAGATGTCAGCCACCAAACCTTAATGACTTGGAGAGGATCTGCCAAGAGGAGTGGGCCAAAATCCCTCCTGAGATGTGTGCAAACCTGGTGGCCAACTACAGGAAACATCTGACCTCTGTGATTGCCAACAAGGGATTTGCCACCAAGTACTAAGTCATGTTTTGTGAACGGGATCAAATACTTATTTCCCTCATGAACATGCAAACCAGTACATAATTTGTTAGACATGCATTTCTTTCAATTTTTTGTTGCTATTCTGTCTCTCAGTGTTACAATACACCTACCATTCGATTTTTAGACTGATCATTTCTTTGTGAGTGGGCAAACATTCAAAATCAGTAGGGGATCAAATACTTATTTCCTTCACTGTATATTTGGGAAGAATATTTTTAAAATATATTTCAAATATATTTTTCTTCCATGTGGGTTGATAAGGCGCAAATTTGTTGGCGTGTTTTTGCATATAATGCCTTTTTCAATTGTAGTCTTTTAAAACTGCCACAAATTCCCTACACATTAAGTAGAGTGCTTTAGCATTTGCCTCAACGAAAAGTAATTTGTCCAACTTTCTTTGAACAATCTTCCTTAATCCGCAACTTTTTTTTGGGGGTGGGGGGGTATTTGTTTATTTTCAATGTGGAAGCCATGCTAGAATAAAAAAAATAATAGATAAGGGAATTGGATTTCAGCTACACAGTATATGTGCCAGGGTTGCCAACTATCAGTAAATTCATGGACAGTTTGTAAAATTCGTGATTTTTACATCTGTCTGTGAATACAAAATTTCTTTGAATATCATGATGGTTGGCAACCCTGGTATGTGCTGTGTGGGGAGGTAGAGGGGAGGTTCTGGGCAGGGGGCCCACAGGTATTCCCTTTTGCTCTTCTCCCTACGTAAAAGGTTGTATAGAGAGGTGTGGGAATGGACAGAGTAGCTGGGCCAGCACAGACAGTAATTAGGCACTCCCAGAAGAGAAGGGGGTTATGATATGCAAGAGGGAGTGTACTGTACTATGGAAATTACACTTTCTGGAATGAGTATATTGCGGGTCAATAATAAATAAATCATGGAATAGAAAAATGTTGTAAGTAAGCATTTGTAATGTTGAAATACAATGGTCATGCATTTTTGTGTAACAACTACTTTAGTACATCAGTATCACTATTCAGTATAGATATATTCTTCAACCTGTAGATGGTAGTGTTTATAAGTTTATAACTGCATCTATGACTCTATGTCAGCAGTCACTAAATGGCGGACCACGGTCCGAGTACAGCCTGAACCGCGCTCCCACCCGGCCTGCCAGACTAAAATGACAGATCCGCTGCTCAGCAGGGTGGTCATCCCGGCAACCGATGACATCACGCATGCAGCTCACTGTCTCTCCCAGCTCCAGCTCCCTGCCTGTCCATAAGCGTGCACCCCGGCCCTTTAGCAAGCCCAGCAAGCTCCCGCCTCCCACTCCTGTCTGCCCTCAAGGTAGGGTGTTTTTACTCTGGGGGACCTTGATGGACACATTTAATGTTAAAGTGTAATGGGGATAGGCACATTTAATGTTAAGGAGCACACTGATGGCCACAACATAGAATGTGCCCATCAGATTGCCCCTTAGCGTCAATTGTATCCATAAGAGTGCCCCTTGACATAAAATGTGCCCATCAGCATGCTGCTTATTTTATGTTAAGGGGCACTCTGATGGTCACATTTTATGTTAAGGGGGCACATATGCGCACATACTGTGGAAAGGCACTCTGATGGGCACATGTGATGGAAAAGGGCAGTCTGATGGGGAATATGATGTAAAGGGGCACTCTGATGGGGAAATATGATGGAAAGGGGTACTTTGAGTGTAAGGGGGCACTCTGACGGCAATACCTGATAAAAGGTGGCAATGTGATGGAGATACCTGATGTAAAGGGGCACTCTGATGGGGACAACTGATGTAAAGGAGCACTCTGATGGGCACACCTGATGTGATGGGGATACATGATATAAAGTTGTACTCTGATGGCGACACCTAATGTAAGGGGGCACACTGATGAGCACACCCTATGTAAGGTGTCACCATGATGGGAGAACCTTATATAATGGGGCGCTCTAATGGGGACAACTGATGTAAGGGGGCACACTGATGGGAGACACCAAATGTAAGGGGGCTTCTGATGCAGAAACCTGAAGTAAGGTGGCACTCTGATAGGAATGCCTGAAGTAAGGGGGCACTCTGATGGGAATGCCTGATGTAAGGGGGTACTTTGATGGGAATCCCTGATGTAAGGGATCACTAATGGGAATCCCTGATGTAAGGGGGCACTCTGATGGGAGACACCAAATGTAAGGGGGCTTCTGATGCAGAAACCTGAAGTAAGGTGGCACTCTGATAGGAATGCCTGAAGTAAGGGGGCACTCTGATGGGAATGCCTGATGTAAGGGGGTACTTTGATGGGAATCCCTGATGTAAGGGATCACTGATGGGAATCCCTGATGTAAGGGGGCACTCTGATGGGAGACACCAAATGTAAGGGGGCTTCTGATGCAGAAACCTGAAGTAAGGGGGCACTCTGATGGGAATGCCTGAAGTAAGGGGGTACTCTGATGGGAATGCCTGATGTAAGGGGGTACTCTGATAGGAATCCCTGGTGTAAGGGGGCACTCTGAAGGAAATGCTTGATGTATGGGTGCACTCTTATGGGAACACATTACTTAATGGGGTGCTCTGATGGGAACACCTTATATAGGGGGGTACTCTAATGGTGGCAACTGATTTATGGGGAAAGTGTGATGGTGGCACTCAATGTAATAAATTACTCTGGGAGGAGGAACCTGATGTAAGGGGGAACACTAATGGGGACATTTTTTTCGGACCTCGACCAGAAGATTTTAGGGACTGGACCTCATTGAATTTTAATTAAATACCCCTGCTCTATGTCTTTTTCCTGAATAAAGTTCCTGTTTGCAGAGAAGCAACAGATAAACACATGTGGACTGTACTCTGTCTCTTCTGCAGGGCTACAGTTGTGTCCAAAATTATTCAACCCCCACTGAAATTGAGTGTTTTGGCCAGTTTGACATTGCTTTTGATCATTCAGTCATCTTGCTTACATTTACATTAAAGAGGCACTTGTAGGTCAGACAAATATAAACATAACAGTTATAATGAAATAACCACAAATGTCTTTTCTGTGCTCACAGCATTATCAGTTTTATTCAACCCCCAAGTGACATTCAATCTTAGTACTTAGTACAGCATCCTTTTACAGTTTATAACAGCTTTTTAAACGTGAAGCATAGCTTGACACAAGTGTCTTGCAGCGATCTACGGGTATCTTCGCCCATTCTTCATGGGCAAAGGCCTCCAGTTCAGTCACATTCTTAGGTTTTGCGCACTGCAACTGCTTTCTTTAAGTCCCACCAGAGGTTCTCAATCGGATTTAAGTCTGGTGACTGCGATGGCCACTCCAAAATGTTCCAGCCTTTCCTCTGCAACCATGCTCTAGTGGACTTGGAGGTATGCTTGGGATCATTGTCCTGTTGAAAGGTCCAACGTCTCCCAAGCCTCAGGTGTGTGACGGACTGCATCACGTTTCCATCCAATATCTCCTGGTACTGAAGAGAATTCATGGTACCTTGCACACGCTGAAGCTTCCCTGTACCTGCAGAAGCAAAACAGCCCCAAAGCATGATTGACCCTCCACCATGCTTCACAGTAGGCAAGGTGTTCTTTTCATCATAGGCCTTGTTCTTTTCCTCTCCAAACATAGCGTTGATCCATGGGCCCAAACAGTTCTAATTTTGTTTCATCAGTCCACAGAACACTATCCCACAACTTTTGTGGTTTGTCCACATGGCTTTTGGCATACTGCAGTCGACTCTTCTTATTCTTTGGAGACAGCAAGGGGGTACGCCTGGGAGTTCTGGCACGGAGGCCTTCATTACGCAGTGTGCGTCTTATTGTCTGGGCTGAAACTTCTGTACCCACATCTGACAAATCTTTTCTCAGTTCCTCAGCAGTCACACGGGGACTTCTCTCCACTCTACGCTTCAGGTAGCGCACAGCAGTCGAAGTCAGCATCTTCTTTCTGCCACGACCAGGTAGCGTTTCAACAGTGCCCTTTGCCTTGAATTTGCGAATGATGCTTCCTAAGGTGTCTCTTGGTATGTTTAACATCTTTGCAATCTTCTTATAGCCATTGCCCTTCCTGTGAAGAGAAATCACCTCTTCTCTTGTCTTCCTGGACCATTCTCTTGCCTTCACCATGTTTGTAACCACACCAGTAAATGTCTAGAAGGAGCTGAGTATCACAGTCATTTTAAAGCTGCCTAATTGGTGCTTATTATGCTTGATTGCTGCTCGGTGACATCCACAGGTGTTTTCAATACCTGATGGAAAGCACCTGTATGAACCTCTGTTCTTCAGAGTGGTAGTCTTTAAGGGGTTGAATAATTGTGGCAATGAAGAAACCACATAAGAACCATTTACTACTGTATTACATAAACAAATTGATGTCATTTTAGTTGCATTTGGGTAGTTACAACGTCCTTGTAGGATTTGATTCTGAATACAATTCCAAATGTACACTATAGTCCCTAAACCCCTTTACAGCATTGGGGGTTGAATAATTTTGGACACAACTGTATATACAGAATCTCTAACATACTTGATTTTTCTGTGCTTTTACCTGCAATTTTTTAGGTGACAGGGTCTTTTTAGTACTTTCTTTAAAACATGTACCATGTGTTAATGAAAACAGGCCATTCTAAATATACTATGTATTTTGTTTTGTAGTATTGAATCCTGATGAGTGCCCAAGCGGAATGGTTCTTCTCTTTCACAAAAGAAAACAAATCAACAAGCCAAATCTCAACAGTTACAAAGCCTACAAAAAATGATTCTATGTTTATACTTATTTTAATATGTTTTTAAAATGTTGGAAACCAGAATAAAGACATTTAGGAACTGTGTGTGTAAAGTTTTCTATACGGGGACGATTTCAGTAGTATGTTTGCATACATGTGCTGCACTAATCACTGGTCACAGTGTGATTTTTTTTTTTTTTTTTTTTTACTATGTATTGTTTAACTTGCACAAGGAGTACTCTTTACCTCGTACAGTCTGTCAAATGGGTCTCATCAGTATAAATTAGCTGCTTATGGGATTTACTAGAATGAAAATGACATAAAGGTTGCATGTAAGGCTCTGAAATGTCGGGTTGAATTTAGTATTACAATAAAAGTTTAAATGTATATAGAAATAACATGAATGCTCATATGGCCTGAACATACATGTTAGGCAAACCCCCCAGGCACCAACCCTGCCCTGAATTAACAAAGCAAAATAAACACTGAGCAATTAATTTCCCCCATGCCAGATTAGCCAGGGTGCCAGTGTACACTGATCTGATGTGAAATATACTATTTTGGGTGATAATAGGATGTTTATAGGCATCTTACTCTATATCTGTACCTACATTAGGAACACATTCTACCAGTACATTAGGCACTGAGATTTCTAGCACAGGAATTTTACACAGAAAAACACCTTTAAAAGGGAGTTTATGCAAAAAGGAATGTTTCATTCCCAAAGTTTAATAAAAACTAACTCCTGAAACTAAAATAAACCTAAAACAAACCCCTAAAACATTTACTAGCCTCCAAAGCTATTGCTTAATTTCACTAAACTCCTACATTTTTTACTAAAGCAACTGTTATCGCCTAAAGCTCACCTTGGTCCCAGCTTTTAAAGGATAAGTTCACCTTTTAGACAAAAATAATAAATGCACATTTTTTTGCAGGTAAAAAAATGTGCATTTATTATTTTTGTCTACATGAGCCTGGAAAGCATTGCACCGGCAATCAGTAGATCGCTGATGCCATGTAGGTCTCCTGCAGATCTGTCAGAATATCTGCTTGCCATACGGGATGTATGAGCAAGCAGATATTCTGACAGGAAGCTTCAATGAACTACAATGCCTTGAAAAAGTATTCATACCCCGTGAAATTTTCCACATGTTGTCATGTTACAACCAAAAACGTAAATGTATTTTTTGGGATTTTATGTGATAGACCAACATAAAGTAGCACATAATTGTGAAATGGAAGGAAAATTCTAAATGGTTTTCAGAATTGTTTACAAATAAATATCTGAAAAGTGTGGTGTGCATTTGTATTCAGCCCCCCTAGTCAATACTTTGTAGAACCATCTTTCCCTGCAATTACAGCTGCAAGTCTTTTTGGGGATGTCTCTACCAGCTTTGCACATCTAGAGAGTGAGATTTTTTGCTCATTCTTCTTTGCAAAACAGCTCAAGCTCTGTCAGATTGGATGGAGAGCATTTGTGAACAACAATATTGAAGTCTTGCCACAGATTCTCAATTGGATTAAGGTCTGGACTTTGACTAGGCCATTCTAACACATGGATATGCTTTGATCCAAACCATTCCATTGTAGCTCTGGCTGTAAGTTTAGGTTCCTTGTCCTGATAGAAGGTGAAGGGAAACTTCTCCCTGCTCTGTCAAAAGGAGGGGGGGGGGGGCAGCAGGCGGCAGCTACGGCTATGGGAACATGTTACATGTTCCACCCTAAAAACAGGTGGAACATGTAACATGTTTCCAAAGGTGAACTTATCCTTAAACGTCATCATTAAAGCAGAACTCCAGACAAAATGTTTATTTTCCCATGCAGTAGGGCTGTGCCTGCCCTGCATATGTTACCTGCTTGTTTTGTTCAGGGGCACAAGGAAAAGCTATACCCTCCCGGTCCTTTGACAGTGCTCCCCACATCCAGCAGTGAACTGTTCCTGCGATCCTCATGTCCAGAGCCAGTTATATGGGGTGTGATGATGTTAGGAACAGTCCATTCACAAGATGGCTACTGTGCGGGGGGAAGGCTGGAGCGGCGGGGACTGGTTGGATCGGAGGATTAGGTAAGTATATCTCTGCTTTGCTCTCCTCACCCTTAAACAAAAGTGAGCAGTTAACACATGCAGTGCTTG